AATCTCGTTATAATTTCTGGCTCACAGTTGATAATCACCGTTTACAGACTGTGAGGTTAATCCATTTACAGAATTTTACAACTTTGATTGAATGTACAGAAAGAGAAATACAGGAGCAAATCTGCCTGTTAGCTGCGACCAATCGGCCACCACCCTCTCTACAGTAAATTCATGAGACAATATATGGCATAATTTAGATTTAATAAAATAATAATATGAACAGTAATATTCCTGGATTTGTGCCTAATCGAGGGTAAAGTAGTGTAAGGTTGAGTGAGACATCACCCAAGTCGCGTAGAGGTAAACCGTTAGCAGTGATTGCAGTTAGATTATGTCCCTGAATGAGTGACATGTATCACATTTCAATAGGTAGGTTGTTCGGTGAATTTCAACAAATAGAAAAATAGGCTTGGTGAATTTTAACAGATAGACAAATTAGGTGATTTCAAGAGATAGGGTGATTTCAAGATATAGACAGATAGATTGATTTCAATAAATAATTGTTCTTTTGAACAAATTGTGCCCTTTTGACCCAAAAATATTAAAAAATTGATTGAGTACACATATTTTGTTTAGATTCTTTCAGATTGGTCATCTTAATTTGATAGAGCATTTAGGCTTATTTTGGCGCCAATCTCGATGATTTGAATCAGAGTTGCAAACAAATCGAGTCAATTTGAACTTTGCTGAACTCAAGCTTATCTCGATAACTAATTGGGCTCAAGCTTGACTCAGTTTGTTAATATTAATGGAACTCGAGTTCGACTCCACTCCACTCGGCTTGATAAGATGTTTATTATTATTTTTTATATTATTTAAATAAAAATAATATTTATATTATTTAATACATAAATAATGTATGTATACTATTATTTATATATATATATATATATAATATTTTTATTATATAATTTAAATAAAGATAAATGAACCAGCTTATTCGAGTACGAGTTCGGCTTGTTTAAACATTTGATGTGTGGAATGAGAAAAACATAATGTAACTAAATTAATAAGTGTGTGAACTTAGAAATGATGTGCACAAAGTGTAAATGATGTGTGGAAATATAATTATCCCTATGTTTTGCCTTTTGTATTATTTTGATCCCTACACTTTTAATTTAATACTCGTTGAGTAAAATATTCATACAAAAAATTAAGATGATTGGATATAAATAAATAAAAAAATTTGATATAATTTAAAAAAAATTACTAAAAAAAAAAGAAAATCCTATACAACTTATTTGGATTTGGCTATCTTGACTTTGTAATTCTTTGGTTGTCATATCTCTCTCCAAGGTCATTATCCATTTTTGCTATCATGCTACATGGCATGTGAGTAGAGTAAAATTTTATTTTGAATAGAGTGAAATTTTAGCTATCAATAGCATACGTTTCATTATATGTAGTTTTTTTCTTAATAATTTTTTATCTAACCAATGAAATTAAAATTTTGAAAATTGTTTTATATACATGATAGACATATTTAGGAATGTTCAGAATTAATTTTATAATTTTGTTAGCAACTTGCCAAGTTTGTTAATGTTAACATGGACAATAAAATTTTACTCTATTTTTTTTCTCTAGAACTTTATTATCAACAAATATCTTATTTGATAAATTTCAACGAAACGATTTACAAATTAATAATTTTATTAAAAAAATATTTTAAAATATTATTTTAAAATTTAATATGCAATTTGGCCCTGAAAATATTTCTGTAATGTGCTAGGCATTAGAATGACAATTTATGTCTACGTCCTTATATATGAAAATTTTGTGTAGGGCCTTTCACCAAAATTTCCAAGAAAGATACAAAAGTCGTTGCTGTTTCTTTCTTTTGCAAAAAAAATTTTAACAACCTCTCTCACTCATGATATATATATATATATATATATATATATATTTTTTTAAGGTCCCTGATATTAAGATTTTATAGCATAACTGATACTAAATATTTTCATAATGTCTAAGGTCCCTCAACATTGATCCAGAGAAAATTCAATCCAGAGAATTTCTCTCCAGAGAAATTTCTCTGCAGAGAAATTTAATTTCTCTGGACTTTGGAATTTCTCTCCAGAGAAATTCGGGATTTCTCTGGATTCTGTATAAGTGAAGAAAACTGCTTTTCAGCTTCGTCCTTTGTTCTGTAGTCAAAGTTCGAAGCTGTGGGAATCTTGCCTCCTGCGAAACCATGTATGAAAAGAAACAATATATACGTGTTACTAATTACACCACATTTGTAGGAATATATGCATCTAATCTTATCCCACAATAATAATATACTTCCTGAAATCAGGTTAAAACACAGTTATGCACCACCACTCAATTCACTTCTAAAACCACCATGAACTACAAGAAAATTAATTGTGGCATAAGAGGGATTGCCACCCAACTCACCTGCTCATATGGAGGATCCTTGTGTACTGGTATCAACCGAGAAACAAAATATCGAGCCCGGGAGCTCCCCTCCTGTCACAAAACCAGTCTCCCTCAGATTTTCATTTTAATTCTCAAGATCGAGAATGGAGAAACGGAGTTCCGAATTTGGAGAGGGAGAAGTTTAGAGTGGGAGAGAGAAAAAAAAATGAGGTTTGATTCGAGAGAGTCAAATTTCTCTGTGATATATGGGTGTGGGAGTTGAGGGACCTTAGACATTATAAAATAAAATTGTGGATCTCTTCCATTACTAAATATGGGAGAGGGACCTCAAACTAATTTTTCCTATATATATATATATCTAAAAAAAAAGAAGTTGTGTTGTGTGCCACCCAGGCATGGCATTTATTTAGACCTATTTTGATAATTAGGGAAAAAAAGGTTAACTTATCTGTGGTTTGACAAGTGAATTGGGATTAAAAAGCACACAAAAATAAAATAGAAGATGTAACATTCAAATCATTTCATTTTTTCTATTAAAAAAGTTAAAAAGTTTTTTTTTTTTTTTTTTAATGAAAGCTAGGCTAAATTAACCAAAAAAACCAAAAAATCATACTAAATTTTTTTTCCCAAACGAATCTCTATTGGTTTATTTAGACACATTTCTACCTGTTTATACAATTTTTCCAAAAAAAACTAATAAATAAATAAAAAACACTCCCAAAAATAGACCTTATTTTGATCATCAATGATTATTTACTATAGGTAATCATTATGTTTTTGATTTTATCTCTTGGATTCTTAATACCATTTATTTATTTATTTCTTGGATAAAATACCATTTCATTCTAAACATACATATCTGATGTATAATAAAAATATAACATCATGTCCACCTTCTCCCATTAAAGAGCAAAATTGTTGTTCAAATTTTCTTTTAAAATTATTAACACTTAAAATTTGATTGTCAAGACAACTCACAATAACGGCAAACACATTTTTGTGTGTTGAAAAAAATAGAGTAATGCTAAATTTTATGAAAGAAATATTAGGAAAAGACAAGTGTAATTTACACATTTAATTATTTTATTTGTTTTTTTAGTATGATCAAATTTTCTTTTTTGAGAAAAGTGGTGAAAAGTCTTTATGAATTTTCTTTTTTGAGAAAAGTGGTGAAAAGTCTATCATAAAGAGTGTGTAAATTAGATCAAAGGAAAAATCTTATTCAGTGATAATAACATGCTGGAAAAAGTCGTCAGGGAATTGATTGAAAAAGTCATTAGAAAAGTTATCGGCAGCAACAAATGGTGGTTGTGAGGTAGAGAAATGTGTGATATTCAGTTGATAGGGTATTGAATGAGTGACATGTAGCACATTTCAATAGATAGGTTGTTCGGTGAATTTCAACAGATAGAAAAATAGACTTTGTGAATTTCAATAGATAGACAAATTAGATGATTTCAAAAAATAGAGTGATTTGATGAGATAGACAAATAAATTGATTTCAAGAGATAGATAGTTAGATTGATTTCAATAGATAATTGTTCTTTTAAACAAATTGTGTCATTTTGACCAAAAATATTTAAAAAATGGACCTATGGATTGAGTACTTATTTTTTTTGTTTAGATTCTATCAAGTTGGTCATCTTAATTTGATATATGTTTAGGCTTATTTTGGTGTGAATCTCAATGATTTGAACTAGGGCTGCAAACAAGTCGAGTCAAGCTGAACTTTGTTGAACCCAAACTTGTCTCGATAATTAATTAGGCTCAAGTTTGACTCGGTTAGTTAATATTAATGGAACTTGAGTTCAGTTCGACTCGGCTTGATAAGATTTTTATTATTATTTTTATATTATTTAAATAAAGATCTTAAAATAAAAAATAATATTTATATTATTTAATACATAAATAATGTTTGTATACTATTATTTATACATATAGACAATTTATTCATTATATAATTTAAATAAAAATAAACGAATTAAGCTTATTTGAGTTCAATTTTGGCCCCGTTTACTAAAAGAGCCAAGTCGAGGCGGTTCACGAACAGCTCAATTTATTTATAGTCATAATTTGAACCGTTCACTTTTTAATACTTATTGAGTAAAATATTCATACCAAAAATTAAAATAATTGAATATGAATAACTATATGTTTGAATCACAAAAATCGGATGTCTGCTCGCACATATATATATTTTTAAAACAAATGTGATTCAAATATAATTACTGATATCTAATTACCTTAATTATTCATATAAATATTTTGCTTAATAAATTTTAAAAAATAAATAATTTATATCACCCATAAATTAATCTCACTAAACCCAAACATTCACTCAAATTAGATGGCAACCTAGAAGTTAGAGAGAATCAATCAAGCCCTCTTTTTTCCACTCTGAGGAAAGAGGGTAGTTGTGGCAACAATACAGACGTCTCCAATTAGACCACACGAAGTAAAATTAGAACTACAGAGACTAAATAAAGAGTGTAGTTGTGGCAACAATACAAAAAAAGAAAAGAACTTTGGCTGAGAGAGAGCGAGTCAGCCTGTCTGATAATTAGGTGGGACCCGCACATTGCCCAACCAAAGAAGAGAAGAGGGGACTTCACGGGCAAGGACCACTTGTTTACTCTCACCTCACTCCTCATATTATTCATTCGGATCGTTGAATACTTCTTTGTCAAGATCTGGTTTTTCTCTTCACTATATCTTAAACAGAGAGGGGTGTCCAATCCAATCCAACTCCTCATCTTTTCATTTCTGTTTAGGCAGATGGAAAGACACTTGCATCACAAGAAGAAGCTCTGAGCGATCTAGAAACTTCATTTATTTACAGGTTTTTATTTTTTTTATTTTTATTTTTTATGTTCTTTATTTTCTTGCTTGCACACTGAGAACATGATGGTAGTTTCTGTTGTGGGAAAGTACATTTACAGTTGTTTTTGAAAGTGGGTTTTTTATTTTTCTTGAATTTCTTGCAAATTTAACATCTGGGTAACGTGCCTTTTTCTTGGAGACTACCCAGTTGTTGGTTTGTTCACCAAGGATCCTCTATTTTTTTTCCTAAAGTTTCTTGGTATATTGTGTGGTTGAGATTTAATGTTGAAAAATTGATGTGACTTGTCATTAAATCTCAACCACACAATGCACACTCTAAGTAAACTTTAGGAAAAAAAAACTCTAGAGATCCTTGCTCTGGTTTGTTTGCCTCTGTGAAAGATGGGGTTCTGGTCTTTTTGTGTCTGTTTGGTTACTGAGAAAATGATGCATAAGGAAATAACTTGGAACTAAATCTTAAATATTTTTTTTTGTTTGGGCCAGATTTATGAAGTAATGGCAGTTGTTGAAGTGTGTCAGTTGGGTTTTTTATTTTTCTTCAATTTCTTGCAAATTTAACATCTGGGTAACGTGCCTTTTTCTTGGAGACTACCCAGTTGTTGGTTTGTTTGCCTCTGTGAAAGATGGGGTTCTGGTCTTTTTGTGTCTGTTTGGTTACTGAGAAAATGATGCATAAGGAAATAACTTGGAACTAAATCTTAAATATTTTTTTTTGTTTGGGCCAGATTTATGAAGTAATGGCAGTTGTTGAAGTGTGTCAGTTGAGAACTGAAACTCACTCACTCACTCACTCACATAATATTCAAAGTTTCAGATTCATTTACTTTTCTTCAATTTTCTCAACAAAATTACAGAGGCCTCTCTCTACCATGTATGTTTATTCATAGTGTCGATTTCTCCATAAGAATGTATAATCACCTACGTGTTAATCATAGATAGATTTGTTATGCTTATAAATTGGAATTATAGAAACAGGTGAAATCTTTTGATAGTTTTTTTTCTTGTTTTGTTATGGGAACATGACAAACTGAGGAATGATACATAGAGGCGAAATCTGTGGGTTAATTTCACTTTTATTCCCTAAACTGTCATTTTACTTTTTATCCCTACATTATTAATTTTATCTATTTATAGTTTCTGATTTCAGTTCATGTTGTCCAATTGGAGACACCATTGCAAATCACTTATGGTGGAAGCCTAGCTTGATGGGCAAAAGGGTAATTTTACAATTTGGACAACCTAAATCACACAACCAAGCGCCCATCAAATTGGTTGTGGGGTGGAGTTTGTTCAAAATAGTAGAAAGAAAATAAATGTTTGGTTGGATGATTTAAGTTTTTCAAATTTTAAAATCAACCTTTTGCCCATCAAATTAGGTTTCTAGGACTATTGATTTGGACTGGCGTCTCCAATTAGACTACACGAAGTAAAATCAGGTTGTTGGGTGGAGTTTGTTCAAAATAGTAGAAAGAAAATGAATGTTTGGTTGGATGATTTAAGGCTCCGTTTGGTTTGCCTTTAGAAAATTCCAAAGGCAAATTTTTCAAATCACTTTTCAAAATTCATAACCAAATACACAACTCAAAATTACTCAAAACTCAATTCAAAAATTAATTTCGAAACTCATAACCAAACACACAACTCAAAATTCAAAACTCAAAACTCTTTTGATGATATAGTATTGAAGATGATTAGTGATGAAATTGTTAAATTCTTGTTATAAAAAATTAATTTCTATATTTAAAAAATGTTTAAAACAAATTAAATTTTTTATTTTTTCAAATAACAGGTTGCAATTGCACACACACAAAAAAAAAAAAGTTGCACTGTTCTGGTCAACCGGTCGGTTGTCCAAGAGGGTGTCCAGGTAGAAGACTAGGTAAACCCAAGCCGCTCTTTTCAAAATTTAAAATTCAAAAATTCCTTTCAAAACAATTTTCAAAACTCATAACCAAATAAATTTTCAATTATTCAAAACTCAACTCACAATTCCACACTCAAATCACAATTCTAAAAAGAAAATCACAATTCTAAAACTAAACCAAAAGCAGTCTAAGTTTTTCAAATTTATAAAAATCAACCTTTTGCCCATCAAATTAGGTTTCAAGGATTATTGATTTGGACTGACGTCTCCAATTAGACCACACGAAGTAAAATTAGAACTACAGAGACTAAATAGATGAAATTGATAGTTTAGGAATAAAATAGAAAAAAATGGCTATAATGATCAATTGAGAAATAATACATAGAGGTGAAATCTTTTGATGTTTTTCTTTGTTGTTTTGTTCTTGGAACAGGACAAATTGAGGTATGATACATAGATGGGGAGGAAAGGGAATTGGTTTTCTTCCATAAAGAAAGCTTTCAGCCCAGAGTCCAAGGAAAAGAAAGCCCAGGTTTAGAAAATTCTCGCTTTGATTCTTTTAGTCCTTCTGTGACTATTTTAAATTTAAATAGGATTGTAATATATTTAATAATGGTTTTCAGAAATCAAATAAATCAAAGAAGAAATGGTTTGGGAAGGAAAAATCGTCTGTTCCTGATTCCTCGCCTTCAGAAACTCTTACTGTGCCTCATCCTCTTCCTCCACCAGAAGATGTGAAATTGATTGAAGCAGAGGATGAACAAACTAAACATGCTTACTCTGTTGCAGTTGCCACTGCTGTGGCAGCCGAGGCTGCTGTTGCAGCTGCTCAAGCTGCAGCAGAGGTTGTTAGACTCACTACCGTGAATCAGTTCACAGGCAAACCGAAGGAGGAAGTGGCAGCAATCAAAATTCAAACAGCATTCCGGGGATACCTGGTATGCCTCTTTTTAAATACATAAAATTGCAAATTGTTTTATGTTATTTTTAAATTTTTCGTTATCTTTGTACTTTGTTTTGATTGATGTCGTTTCATGCCAAACTATTTGCCATGTTATTTTGGTGAAAAATGCTCTTAAAAATCATTTAGATTTCTGTCCAACACTTTTGTTTAGTTGGAGCACAAGCATGTCCAATGTCCATAAATGTAATTCTTATTGCTTGAATGCTGCATTTGATTCGCATTGCATTCTCATAGGAAAAATAAGGGTTGCGTCTGGTTGAATTTTAGAATTATGATTTGAGAATAGAGTTGTATTTTGAGTTTGTGAGTTTTGAAATTATGATTTGAGTGTGGAAAATTTATTTGATTATGAGTTTTGAAAAGAGTTTTGAATTAAGTTTGAAATAATTGATGTGACATATGATATTTGATTCAAAAACTTGTGACTCATAACCAAACACACAACTCAAAATTCTATTCAAAGCTCATAAAATTTTTTTAAAAATTTGGAATTTTTTTTTTATTTAATATATAAAAATTACAAGTGCCAATTGTTGGAGAAAAATAAAAAATAAAAAAATCGCACTGTTCCTGTCAACCGGCCGGACGTACGAGATGATGACCGAGTAGGCCAAATTTCAAAATTCAAATCCAACCTAAAACGAGTTTTCAAAAGTGGTGTGAAATTAATTTTTGAAAGTTATAACCAAACACCATACTCAAATATGGGTGTGGAGTCATGATTAGAACTCCACACTAACGCTATGTTTGGATTGAGTGATTTGGAGAGGAAAAAAAAAGAAATGAAGAGATATGTATTTCTCTTATTTGTTTGGATAACTTAAGTGGAGAGAAATGAGAAGAAATGGAGAGGAATTGAAAGAAACTCATTTCTCTTATAAGCCTCATTTTCAATCTTCTCAAAAATAGAGAGATTGGGAGAGAAAAGAAATCATTATTTTTATAATATCAATTTTGTCCCTATAAAAATAAAAGAAATAAAATGATTGAAAATATAAAAAGGTTATTTTGGTAATATAACATAAAATAATTTCTTTTCTTTTCTTTTTTCTTAATGAAATCTAACCAAACAAGAATGACAGAAATTACAATCATTTCTTTTCTTTTCTTTTCTTTTCTTTTATAACTTAAGTAATCCTTTCTTTTCTTTTCTCTCCTAGGTTCCCAAACATAGTGTAAACACAGCCAAAAATTTCCATTCCTAATGAGAATTTTTGGAGTTGTGTTTTGTATTTGTGAAGTAATTGATCTTTTGTCATTCTCTGATTCCAATAGCTAATATTTAGTTGGCAGGGTGCTTCTTTTCTATGGTTAGAGAGGTTGAGAACAAAAGTTCTACAATCTTAAGAGGTTGCGGGCATTTTCTGTTTGATTTATCTTTATTTATTGCTTTGTTGAGCTTGTTCTCAGATATAGGCTACCAAGTAATTATGTATTTCAGACTCCATGAGGCCATGCTCGAGTTGACTAGTTTTATGGAATGAAGTGTTTGCATTTGTGTTTGTTCTTTGGTATTATTGACACGCTGTGAAAAATAATGTCCGGAATTTATCATTTAGAACCAAAACAACCATATAATTTCATCACTTTCTGTCTCTCTCGTGTTAGTCCCATAGTTTGAACATGACTGCAAGTGACATTTTGGTACTAGTCAATGTTTTGCCTCCCTAGATCCCGCTTTAGTGGGCGTATCGTGTTTTGGGTGTCCTTTTTATTTTGAAAATTAGCTTATTAATGATTTGGCTTGCATAAATAACTTATTAATGATAAGCATAAGCATTAAGGAAAAGATCAACAAATTGGAGAAAATGGACCCAAGTAATTGGGACAAAGGCTTATTGAGTTGAGTTGAGTTGAGATTGACCAAGAGTTCTAAGAACAAAGGAAGTTTCAGAATAGTCAAACTTGTAGTTTTGATTATATATGTTGTAGTATGGTTGAAATGAAGGCCGTTAACCAATTAGGGGCATTTAAAGTGATATCATTCTATTGAATTACATATATATAAATTTGTTTATTATATTCTAGTTTTCTACAATTTTAGCTGTTTGAGGACACATATTATTAATTGTTCATATTGGCACTATGCAGTGTGTTTTCCCCTCATTTTTCTTCCTTGTAACTTTAGCATCGGGTCACTTGAGAAATGATGGATGTTATCAACTGATTTGCTGTTGTGGGGTTGTCTTCAGGCTAGGAGGGCATTGCGGGCTTTGAGAGGACTTGTTAGGCTGAAATCATTAATACAAGGGCCCACTGTCAAACGCCAAACTGCGAATGCTTTAAGATGCATTCAAACTGTAGCCCGTGTGCAATCTCAGATCCAGTCTAGAAGGATCCGGATGTCAGAGGAAAATCAGGCACTCCAGAGACAGCTTCTTCAAAAACGAGCAAAAGAACTTACAAGTTCACAGGTTACCTTTCTTCCATATCTCCGCTCTTTTCTTCCAAATTATTGCTCTACAGAGTGTGATGGCAGTATCCAATTTGTTATCAAGCATCTTCTAAGATGCAAATCATGCAAGCGGTATTCCATATTTATTGTTTACGAGTAAGAATTTCATTAGAAAACATAGAGCAACAATTGGTATTCTAGAAACTACTTTGATGCAATTCAAATGGGTTATGCACTATGAAGCATGGATATGAATACAATATAATTCGGATATGGCAATACAACAAAATCTGAAAAATAGGATATGGGTACGGTCAAGTACTGTTGTTTTTTTTTTGTTTCATTTATTTATAATTTTGAATATTATATTATACATGAGCTCAAAGTGAGAAACCATTATTTAGGGATTACATATTAGTTTAAGAGCCTTAGTCAATTTATGTTTTTTGTCTTCAGTTACATTAATTTGATAAAATCTGAAAAAAGTAGAGTAATACTTTTATCTCGTTATTTTCTTCTTTGATACGAAATAAGAAAATATTGAAAAACTATTCTTGTATTCTAACAATTATACTTTAATATGTAAAAATTGTTACAATTTCAATTTCATAATAGCTGGTTGGATACATGACCTAGAGCGTCCAAAAAAGTATCCAATACTTCTTAAATTAACATAAATATCGGATATGCATCCACGGGTATCCAAGGAGTATCAGTATCTGATATGGGTATGCTATGGACACAACTCCTTTTTTAGAAGTATCCGTATCACAGGTTATGAAATATTAGCTCAACATGTGAATGTCACTGGGGCTGTTTGCAAATATATTAGTCCAGCCAGCCATGAAATTCTCTTGGGCATGTGTTTGGTGAAATGCACGCAAAATTGCTATGCTGATTCAGATACCTTTCAATTGAACATTTGACAGGCATTCATGCTTGAACTTCTGGTTTCCAAATAGCTTCTTATTTGAGTTGTGCTTTTTGGTAATTTATTCTGTAGTTTATTCATAAATAATTTGCTGTTTTTCTGGTTCTTCACTTTGTGTCTTTCATCAGAACACAATTGGTTTAAATGTTGTAAGTTGTAACAGATTGGGGAGAATTGGGATGACAGTCTACAGTCAAAAGAACAGATTGAAGCAAACTTACTGAGCAAGTTTGAGGCAGCCATGAGAAGAGAAAGAGCACTAGCTTATTCTTTCTCCCACCAGGTAACCTCCTCATCTATATCTCTCTCTTTGTAATACATCCAGCCCCTTTAAAAAGAGACAATAAGGATATCACTGCAAGATTTCTGTATATTCAATTGTGTTAAAATACAAAGAATACATTTGATTATATAGTAATCCTAACCCTAAAAAAGGAAAAGAAAACACTACCATATATATATACAATATACACTATCATATAGTAAACCTAACCTAATTTTCTCACATTCCCGCTCAAACTTAAGGTGTTTTAGTAGAAAATACTGAGAGTTTGCCAAGAAGAAACTGAAATCAAGTAATGGTGTGAGTCTTGGTAAAGAAGTCAGCAAGTTGCACTATTGAAGAGACGAAAGGAAGCGAAATAGAGCCAGACTACAAATGCTAACGGACAAAGTGACAATCAATCTCAATGTGCTTTGTCCACTCATGGAAGACAGTGTTATGGGCAATCTGAATATTACTACGGTTATCACAACAGAGGGAGGTCAGAGAAGACTGAGGGATGCCCAAGTCAAAGAGAAGACAACGAAGCCGGACAACTTTAGCAGTAGCATGAGCCATAGCACGATACTCCGCATTGGCAGTAGAACGGGCAACAACAATTTGTTTATTGTATTTTTAAGAAATCAAGAAATCGCCAAGATATATACAGAAACCAGAAGTGAACTTATGATTTGTAACATCACCAGCCCAATTAGCATCAACATAGGCCCTGTTTGGTAGAGTTGTGGGCAAGTGCTTATAGTTTATGCCTAAACAGCTTATAGCTTATAACTATGAACATAAGCTGATTTCTGACTTATAAATTAAGCATCTCCAGCCCCACTCAAAGAATAAGCTGATTTCTGACTTCCAAAAAACTATAAGCTATAAGCTATAAGCTAAACCAAACACATCAAAATAGCTTAAATTAAGCTGAAAGCTGAAATAAGCTGCTTTTAAGTTCTGCCAAACAGGCACATAGGCTACTAAAGCTAAGGAAGAAGTAGAGGACAACAACAATCTTTGGAAGATAGTACTGTGAAGATAGCGGAGAATTTGAACCAAAGCAGCCTAATGTGTAGAACAAAGAGTAGAAATGAACTGACTAACCACATGAACAGCATAGGCAAGATCAGGGCGAATAACCGTAAGATAGACTAAGCAACCCATGAGCTTTCAATATAAAGTAGAATCAGGCAACGGAACACCATCAATAGTGTTAAGTTTTACATTAAGCTCAATGGAGGTATCAGCGATCTTAGGCCTCGTTTGGCATGCAACATTTTTAGTCTAAAAACCAAAAAGTTACTGAAAAAGCCAAAAAACCTATAACCTATACTAAAAAGTCAAAATTTTCATTTTCTCTATACTTTTTGCACATTTTTTTGTAAAAAATCAAAAAGTTATTCCAAACATACTGAGTATGTTTGGTTTGAGTTTGGGAGATGAGTTTTAGAGATAAAAAGTATGAAAAGTTGTTTGGTTTGAGTTTGGGAGATGAGTTTTAGAGATAAAAAGTACGAAAAGTTGTTTGGTTTGGTTTTTTTCAAAAGATGTTTTGAAAAATTATTTTGAGAGAGAGTTTTGAAAAAAGTGATTGATTTGATGTGTATGAGGGAGAGATTTGTTTGGAAAACTTGTAAACCAAACAAGTTTTGGGAAATTTTTTTAGAAAAATTTGTTTGGTTTGATTACTTTTGAAAACTTATTTGTAGAGAATTTTTCCCAAAAATTTTTGGGAAACACAAACCAAACAAGGCCACTAATTTTTTTTACCTCATATTTTAGCCAAAAAGTTACTAAAATATTCTGCTTCCAATCAAGGCCTGGTGTCAATAAGACCAACACGGTGAGTAACTTCATTAGCATACTTGGCCTAAGACAGAAAGTAGCCCTTGGGAGAAGAAGCCACCTCAATATCAAGAAAGTACTGCAATGGACTCAAATCTTTCATTTCGAATGTGCGGAAGAGATGCTGCTTGACGTCAGAGATAGCAGAAGAATTAGAGCCAGTAATAATCATATCATCCACATACAATCCACATACAGTAATAAGGCAACAAAACCAGCAGAAATGTGGAGGAGAAACAAAGCAGAGTCTTTGGCAGAAGAATGAAATCCAAGTTCAGTAACAGTAGTTTGAAAGCGATCATACTAAGCACGAAGAGATTGCTTTAGACCATACAAAGCATGCCGAAGACGACAAACCTGTCGAGAGAAATGGTAAAGGTCAAGGAGAGGACGCATGTAAACCTCCTCAGCAAGATGACCATTAAGAAAAGCATTCTTAGCATCCATCTGATAAAAAGGCCAATGATGAACAGTTGCGACACATATCAAAGTACGGATAGTAGTCATCTTGGCAATAGAGGCAAAGGTCTCCTCATAATCAATTCCATACTCTTGTGAAAAACCCTTCGCAACCAAGCGAGCCTTGTAGCGCTCAAAAGAACCATCAGAATGAGTCTTGACTTTATAGACTCATTTGCAACCAACCAGATTCTTACCAACAGGCAAAGGAATCAACTCCCAAGTACTAGTTTTCTGCAAAGTAGACAGCTCATTCTCTATAGCTTGAATCTAATGAGGATCCTGACAGGCTTCCTTGTAAGACTGAGATTCTGAAAAAGAGTGAATAGCAGACAAAAACATACAGTATGAAGGACAAAAACTTGTTTTAGCAAAATCAAGTTTGACTACCTGTTTACGGATGCGAAGGGGATACTTACGGTTAGCAAGATCAGAGTCATCAGAAGCAGGAGAATCAACAGCAGAGGCAGAGACAACTGGTGGAGAAAGAGCTTTGCGACGAGGATAGACTAACATCGCCGGAGGAGGAGGAAGAGGAGGAGTAGGAGCAGGTAGGAAAGGAGGAGGGATGTAATTTTTAAAGAATACCAAGATTAGGGAATGATTAGGATATCATCCCCTATTTATATTAATGAAGATCAATAATTACAATGGGGTCCTAAGGTATAGAATAATTACAAAATAATATCCCAAATAATAATATATTATTCTAACACTCCCCCTCAAGCTGGGGCGAAAATATCTCTTATGCCCAGCTTGCCTAAGATATCATGAAAGGGCTTACACCCAACTCCCTTGGTGAGGATATCAGCAAGTTATTCACCGGACTGCACAAAGGGGTACATATTGTGCCACTAGCGAGTTTCTCCTTAATGAAGTGGCGATCAATCTCAATATGCTTTTTCTTGTCATGTTGAACCGGATCGTGAGCAATGTTAATAGCAGTCTTATAATCACAATATAACCGCAAGAAGCAAGTCTAATCAATACTTAGATCACTCAACAATAACTTGATCCATAAGAGCTCACACCCCTTGTGCCATAGCTCTAAACTCAGCTTTTGTGCTGGACTTGGCAACCACATTCTGTTTTTCTCCTCCAAGTAACTAGGTTGCCTCCAACAAAGGTGTAATACCCTGAAGTTGATCTCCTATCAGTTATTTATCCAGCCCAGTCAGCATATGTATAGGCTTCCACACAAAGTTGATCATACTTTGAAAGATAAAGACCCTTACTAGGAGCAGACTTCAAGTACATCAAAATTCTCATAACAGCCTTGAAGTGGAGCTGATGAGGAACATGCATGAACTAGCTTACCACACTGACAGCAACAGCAATATCAGGACGGGAGTGAGATAGGTAAATGAGCTTACCCACTAATCGCTGATAGCTTCCCCTATCAACCGCTACTCCTCCTTCATCACCTCCCAGTTTCTAATTGGGTTCCAGTGAAGTGTCACAAGCCTTGCAACCAAGCATCCCAGTTTCCTTCAACAGGTCAAGCACATACTTCCTTTGTGAGATAAATATCCCATCCTTAGAGCGAGCAACTTCAATTCTCAAAAAATATTTAAAGCTTCCCAAGTCTTCGATTTCAAACTCACTGGCTAAATATTTCTTCAACAGAGGTATTTTCTCACTATCATCGCCTATAAGAACTATGTCATCTACACAAACAATGAGTGTTGTAGTCTTACCATGTGAGGAATGTTTCACAAATAGGGTGTGATCTACTTGACTCTATTTGAAGCCATATTTAAACATAGCTTGAGTGAATCTCTCAAACCAAGCCCTTGGAGACTGTTTGAGATCATATAATGACTTCCAAAGCCTGCATACTTTGCCTTATGTCTGATGATCCTCAAAATCAGGAGAAATGTCCATCTATACCTCTTCTTCAAGGTCACCATGGAGAAAGACATTCTTTACATCAAACTGATGAAGTGGCCAGTCTAGATTAGCTGCTAGAGAGAGAAGGATTCTGACCGAATTCATCTTGGCCACTGGTGCAAAGGTCTCCTAATAGTCAACGCCATATATCTGAGTGAACCCTTTTGCCACAAGTCAAGCCTTGTAACACTCAACAGACCCATCCGCTTTGTGTTTCACAATGTACACTCATTTGCATCCCACAGTTCGTTTGCCCTTAGGTAACTCAGTCAATTCCCAAGTACCATTCTTCCTAAGTGCTTTCATTTCCTTAATCATGACAAGTTTCCACTCAGAGGTAGCAAGAGCATCCTGAAAATGGTTAGGAATGCTCACATAGGAAATATTTAACACAAACGTTCTATACGAGGACGATAAATGGGAGTAGAACACAAAATTTAAAATAGGATGTTGAGTATAAGATCTAACACCCTTTCTCTTGGCAATAGGAACATCAAGATCAATGGACTCAAGAGATTCAAAGTTACCTAGGCTTTCATCAGAAGCAGAAGATGGAAGTGGAGGAATAGAAGTGGTCTCTTGTATCCAGTTAACTTTCTGTCTGTCTTTGTCCCTAACATAAACTTGCCCTTCCCTACCCTTGGTGACATTGGGTTCTGTAGTCTCAGTAGGAGGTGGTGGTGCAAGAACAACTGGTTCCACCATAGAAATCACAGGAATCACTTCACACCAACGCTTCCCTTGAAAGGAGGACTGTGACATCGAAGAAAACAAGAAATAGGATTGGGACTCAAAGAATGTGATATCCATGGACACAAACC